CGTGAATTATTTTTGCAATTGATAAAAAAATGAGAGAGTAATACATAAAATATTTATATATAAGCACGTGTAAAACCTGACACAAGAAAACTCATCTTTATTAGTATCATTTCAATAAAATTGTACATCTCGTATTTCAATAAATATTCTTTTTTCGAGAAACGCGATGAAACATGCAGCAAATGCAAACTTGAATACTTCCGTAGAACGGTAGAACGTTCGAATATCGGAGCGATTGATTATTACAATATTCAGACGATGAAAGTTCAAGTTTCGCATGGCTTTTCTATAAATAATCGTATTCCCAGCCGTTGTTTAGCCAACGGAAGTGAAATTCCCATCGGGCAGAACGAAAATACAACTCCGCCGATTTTATTCAAATAAAGTAAATAGAGACGGGAGGATGGGAGAATCGCAAATGCAAATGCAAATACGCGGGCCACCGGGGTGCGCGCGTGTTTTTCTGTATAATTAATTGCTTACGTTGAGACAGAATTTATCAGTTAGCCGAACTTCAAATTCTGCCGATGTATTATTGGCAATTATCTGGTAATGGAACCGGTTAGAGAATCGATGCGAGAGAAACGAATGGGATCGATGTACTCGCAGAAATTCCCACGTTCGCGACAGAGAGAAAACGAGAGAAAGAGAGGGGGCAGGGGAGGGGAGTAGGCCTCCCTTCAATTTGTTTTCTGGACGTAGCCAGTTGATCTGGCGGGTCAAGTGACGTTAATTAGTCAATCGAATTAACCAGACGTTCGACCTCTGGCTGCCAGTTAACTTTATCGGGTGCTGAATCGACGGAATTCTTTCTTGCAGATCGGCCTGAAGAAACTTACGGAGATCTCGCGGGGCAGCGTACGGATCGAGAAGAACCCGGCGTTGTGTTACACCACTACCCTCAACTGGGACTTCATCGTCTCTGCGGGGGAGAACGTGATCAAAGATAACGGGGAGGAGGCGTCTTGTCCCGGTATTTATTGATTTATCGATTGATTGATACTTGTTTCATCGGTGAGGAATTTCGTTTGATGTGCTGAATATGTTCTCTTATGAATGTACAATAGATGAATGTACAACTCCGTTTATGTGAACCAAATTTTAATCGATATTTGACTAGACGAACCCTTGCTGATTTAATCCAGTTGTTTATTTATTTGGACGTGAATTCCTGTTACGTGAACGAAAGATCATTGGTATCAGGGCTTCAATTATAGTAGAATTTTGTTTGTATGAACTCTATGAATTAAATATTAATCAATGCCTAATTAATTCAATTCTTGCTTATTGAATCCAGTGATTGTTTGAACGTGAATTCCTACTATGTGAACGAAAAGTCACTGCTAGAGGGGGAAATCGATGGGCTTCTGTTGCAGTAGGAAAAAATTACTAATAGAGAGAAGAATCAGTAGACTCCAATTAAACGAACACGGTAGAACGAACGGTTTATACGAACTTATTGGGGATACAGTGATTCTCCCAATTGGTGATTTCATATAATAGGAGTTTAGGTTCAAATAAGAAGATTCAATCAACAAGAGTTCATTTAATCGGGTTCATTGACTCAAATTTGATTCAAATAAATGGAGTTCTATGGAGTTGAACAATTTGTTCAACGACAAATTCTGCTACAAGTATTACGAACAAGTATTGCGAATTCAGTATGAAAATACTATTGTGCGGATGTTTATGCAAATGCACATTTTTATAGAAAAAGTACATAGAGATAGAACCTAGAGTTAATAAAAGTTTCAACATTTATAACTTTCTTAAAAATAATATTAATGATATTAAATTTTGATTTTATAATTATATAATTAAAATCATTATCAATCTAATTTTTGTAGTCTATTGTTCGTATGTGTGTTTCTTAATCT